TTCTCCCTACTCCGAGCGCTTCAATCACACGCGCATAAACTCCCGCAGGCCCTGGAATCCCCCCACCCCCCCCCCCGCCTCTTCTCCACTCCCTCCACCTCCCCTGTTCTCACCCCCCCTCCCCCCCCCCCCCCCCCCCTCGTCTTTAAACTCCGTCCTCTTCTGCCCTCCTCTATCCTCCTCTCTCCTCTTCTGTCCTCCTCTCTCCTCCTCGCTGTTCCTCGATCAGGGAACTGGCTTGCAGGACGCTCTGGACGAGGGGCCCATGAAGAGGTTCTCTCTGTTCGGGATGCCGATGAAGCCCGGGGAGCCGCAGGACTTGTTCAAGATCGAGCGACTGAACGAGAGGCTCGAGAACTTTCAGTGAGTAGAAGAGAGTAGAAGAGAGGAGGAGCGAGGAGGGGAGAGGAGCGAGGCAATGAAAGAGAACATGTAATAGGAGGGGGAGGAGGGGGAGGAGGGGGGGGGGTGCCAAGACAAGACAAAAGAGAAGAGAAGAGGTGGCGGTGATGGTGGAGGAACACGAGGGCGGGGGCGAGGGCTTACGGCTGTGCAGGTATTCATTCGAGAAGGCAGACAGCGGGAGGAGGAGTGCGTTGATCAGCAAGAAGAGGAAGGAGTTCGAGAGGAACTACGGCATTCAGATCGGAAGTTTGACGGACAAGCAGGCAAGTCGAGAAAAGTTACTCCCACCAACACTGCCCCTGCTCCTGCTGCTGCTCCTGCTGCTGCTCCTGCTCCTGCTCCTGCTCCTGCTCCTGCTCCTGCTCCTGCTCCTGCTCCTGCTCCTGCTCCTGCTCCTGCTCCTGCTCCTGCTCCTGCTCCTGCTCCTGCTCCTGCTCCTGCTCCTGCTCCTGCTCCTGCCCTTGTCTGCGCTGCTCCTGCTCAAGACTTTCTTCCACGTGCGGCTCAAATTTTTCTGTTTCAGATTGAATCGATCATCATGGCTGAGAAACGATACAGAGAGATTGACGAGCGCCTTCTCGACGAGGTTTATTCTCCTCCTCCTCCTCGTTACCCTTCTCCTTCTCCTCCTCCTCCTCCTCCTCCTCCTCCTGATCGTAATTCATGGCCTCTTCTTCCCAATGATTTCTTTGCTCCTCCTCCATCTCCCTACCGTCTGCTCCTCTTCCATGTTCCCTTCCTCATCGCCTGTCCTTCATTCCCTCTTGCCCTGCCTTGCCCTCGCATCGTAATTCTCCTGCTCCTGCTCCTGCTCCTGCTCCTGCTCCTGCTCCTGCTCCTGCTCCTTATGTCCTCCTCCTCCTCCTCTTCCTCCTCTTCCTCCTCTTCCTTCTCCTTCTCTCCTCTTCCTCCTTCTCTCCTCCTCCTCCTCCCCCTCCTCTTCCTCATTCTCTCCCCTCCTTCTCTTCTCCTTCTCTCCTCCTCCTCCTCCCCCTCCTGTCTTTCTCTCCTTTTCCTTCCCCTCATACCTCGGCTCTGAGCTGCTTCACCTCCAGGTCGACAAGAACTCACAGGAGCTCCGATCCCTCGCAGTTTCCCTCGGCGCTGCTGCTCCTGGCGCGGCGACTGGCAACGAGACGCAGGGCGGCATTATGAAGATGATGGACTCGATGACGAACAGGAGGTGAGGAGAGGAAGGAGGAGGAGTGGGAGGACGAGGACGAGGAGGAGGAGGAGGATGGGTTGACTCAAGGTTTTCCGCAGGAAGCTGAAGGCTGTTGAGAAGAAACTCACCAAGTTGACGTCTGCAAGACTGTCGAACGAGCTCTCCTACATCTCTGCTGTAAGACAGTCATCTCCTCCTTGCTCTCTACCTCGACCCTCCACCACCTTCCTCCCTTCTCCTCCCTTCTCCTCCCTTCTCCTGTCCTCGTTATTCCTCCTCCTCCCTCTGCTCCTCTTCGTTATCCCCTTACCGGTTCTCTCCTCCTCCTCC